GCGACCTTCCGGTTACAGATACGCTTCCCAACCCCCTGAGCCACGGTCGCCCATTTTAACCATCATTATCTGCAAGGTCTTTAACTGAAATTATATTTAATTTAATGCGAAAAAATAATTATTGTTGTTATCCATGAATTTTCAAATGCAATGTCTTTTTCCAACAGAGCTGGAAAAATAGTAAAGCACATTATTCATTGTTGATTCAGATGCCAAATTGCATTTTTTTACTTGCATTCCTGAACAGAAAAAAACTTGTTTTGGTTTTTGAATCTTATGCTTGATTAATTTCTGACTTATTGGAGAGGTGCAGAGCCTGGCGCTCAAGTTTAGGTATAAAAACAGATGTGTAAAATATTTATTTTTCTCTGCTTTTATGATAGGTGGTTTAATAAATATGTTAAGCCCTGTCCATGTAATTTATACTAAATTTGTGTTGCTATATTCTAAGGGAATTTCCACTGACATGCCCTGCAAACCTGCCGAATTTCTCATTTTCATTCACATGTTTTTTGGACACTTGAAAATCTGCATCGCTTGACTTGACGCTTGTTAGGAAAAAGTTTACTTTACTGTTGAGGATTAGTTTGTAAGAATTATTACAGCTCTTGGAGCTGTCTGTTTAATAAAAAGCTAAAGTCTAAAATGGTTGGAATACCTAACAAAGACTGGAAACAGGGAATCAGCTAGCTGTATGAGGGAAAACACAATCCACCAACTAGCACTTCTGAACCTCATTAATTAACATCCCAAGCTAGCTAATCCCAGGGTATCTAAGTTAATCAGCTCCTGGCTCCAGTTACATATTTTGTTTTATTGATCTTTTCTTCTTATGCTTGGCTAGAAAGTGAAGAAGTGTATTTTTTACAAAATTGTGAGTTATTGCTGCAAGTCATAAATATGAATACTACTACAGTGGGGGAAAAAATTATCTGATCCTTGCTGAATTTCTATGTTTGCTCACTTACAAAGAAATGGACGATCTCTATTTCTTTGTTTGATTTTAATGGAGTGACAAAAACCCATAAAAAACATATCATAAAAATTATACATTGATTTAGATGTATGTGTGAAATCAGTATTTGGTTATCAAGGAAAACACAACTTGGTGGAGAAACCCAAGCAGTAAGTAAGATGTTTTTTGGAGATGGTCACCGGGTTTTAACACGTTTCTGGAGGGACTTTGGCCTACTTCGCTATACTCAAACTCTCTAAATCCCGTCGTTTTCTTGGCTGCTACTTGGCTTCAGCAACAGATTTTCAAGAGGATTGAGATCTGGAGACTGTCTAGGCCATTCCATGGCCTTAACGTACTTCTCCTTTAGCCACTGATCTGTTCCTCTGTTTGGTCTTGGCCATGGTGGTGGAGAGGTTGGAATGGAAGAAAATATTCTCTGGACAGGCGTGCTTTATACACATAACAAGTTGAGATCAGTATCTATAATTGATTGATTGGTTATAATCTGTGTGCCACATGAGCACACAGGCAGTCTGTCCCCTAGGGATCATACACTTAATTCACTCAATCACAAATCAGTTTATAACTGTTATGTAGAGTTTTTTCTGGATTTCTGGCTGATATTCTGTTTCTCGCTAAAATTAGAGACTGTATGTTTCTTTGTAAGTGAAAAAACTTACAAATTCAGTAGGGAATCAAATAATAGCTCCCCCGCTGTATTTACGTCAACAATTTGAACCTTTAAAATAAACACAATGACATCTGACGGCATGACTGATGAAGTAAAAGCCTATGTGATTAAAAAAAAAAAGTGTAGACAGCTTTGGGAATAAAATGTTATTTCAGTTTTGAGAATTTAAAGGGAAAAAAAGATTAAGTAGTTCCATCAGTTTTCCCAGACACTAACCTGCCTGTCCATCTGGCCTGTGGTCACACAGTGTCTCTGTACGTGTGTCCAGGTAACAACTCCAACTGTAACGCTCTCACCCACGGTGATATGGTCAGCCTGGACGAAGGACGTTTCCCAGCTCTGGAACTTAACAATCGACGGCTGTCTGTAAAGAACTCTTTCTGCCGGAAGAACGGCGTCTACACCAGGTGAGTGAGCAACACATTTCCAAGAAAAAATTCATGTTCCGATAATATTTAAAAGAAAAGCTTAATTTAATGTCCAAATGAAACAGCCATACGGTGAAAATAATTGGGTAATCTGTGGAAGCTATACCTCATGCCTGAAAACACTTTCAGCTCTGTTGGAAAAAAAAATACTCTTGACAACTCAAACGCACTCCTTCCGCTATCTAAAAGCAGCATATAAAGAGACTCACTGCAGCCTCTCTTAATGAGCTTCTGTATTTCTGTGAATTCCCAGCAACGCTGGTCTTGAGGCCATGGCCTTGTTTTAAAACCAATCACTGTGACTGACACCTGTGCTGAGAATACTGCACGAACTAAGTCATAAGTCCAGGTTTAGATGTGACTGCACACTTTGTGTTAGCTCATTAAAACCTGTTTATTCTGCATATAAGATGTGGATTTATAGACAGCTGCTTTCATGTTGTTTATGGACAAGACTGTCAGTTATGTCATGTGGATATGGATATTACTATCCTTTGAGTGAAAAGAATGCAAATGAGACAAATGCATTCTCTGACTGTTTCTATATAAGTAACAGTAAGCTGGAGAAATATGTTTGGTTGTGTCTTTCTATGAGTATATGTGTGTGTGTAACCTTGAGGACAGATCAAAGCAGGCACAGGTCTTTGAGATGCTTCCAGGCAGCTTCCTACTACTATGTCTCTGACTTGAAGGGGGAGGCTCAGAGGGAAAGAATGCACAGATGTACAGTCAGCACTCTTTGAACTCAGCCCATAGCGAAGGAAACCAAATCCCAACACCTGAGTCTCCGATTATAGATTAATGCCACATCTTGATCTCTGGTCTCTGAATACCAAAGACAGGATGAAGTTCTTTTGCGTTATACCAGGATCAGAAATCAAACACGTTCCTAATCCTGCTGTATTCATTTTAATTCAGAACTGTGTCAGACAGCAAATGCCATTTGAAGCTGATCCTCACAGAGATTTTCTCTATGTGGAGATTATTTGTTCAGAGTTTAATACAAGGGCCAATATGTCTGGTGGAGAATCACAACGCACAGGGATTTCAGTACTGTTGGACACCGATGACTTAATCTACCCGCTTAAACTTTAAGTGTACCTTTTTCCTGTAAGGAGATCAAAATAGGTAAACACATCAATCTGGTAAAATATAAAGAATTTAGATAAAGTGTGGTCTCATAAACACACACACACACATATATATATATATGGCAGTAGTAATGAGTGCACACTAATAGCACATAAACGGCATGCTATCAAACCAAAGAACTCTAAATGTGTCTCAGGTTTGGCATTCAAATTCTTCTATGATCAAGAGGGAAGGATTAAGAGTGCAATCCCTTCTTGGCTTTGTAGTAGCGTCTTTTTGTTTTTTGAAACCAACTTTGACACTGGTTGTGGGTTTAAAGAGGTCTCAGCGATGTAATTCAGTGTAGATTAACATGGTTTTAAACACTCTTGAGTGACAAAGCTTCCGAACACTTCAGACATGTTAATGAGTCCCTTCAGGCGATCGTAGCAAGAGAGCCTGGTAATGAGTAAAGACCAGGGGGCAGATTTGATTTCACCCTCTGGTTCTCATTCCTTACCTGACGTGCTGCTGCTGACTGAATTTTGCTGTGAGAGGATTAAGTGGACCCTTCTCCGTCCAAATGAGAGAGCTGATAAATAATGTACGCCTCATTCAACAGTGTATGCGAGTCAAGGAGAAGGGGGTGAAAGTGGGCTGAGATTCCTCAGTGTTTTAAAACGGGCAGTTTATCATAATATCCCAGTAGGCTCGCAATAGCTGTTCTTCACTTTGGCTCGATTCTTTGTTTGGCTGTGTTAGGAGGGGGCTCGCTAAGAGGACTGCAGAGGAATGCAAGTTGCTGAAGGTTACTTTGTGGAGTCCTTCTGGGGATAAGTGCAGATAAAAAATTCAGACCTGTGATTATGGAAAAATTATACTCCTGGGGGAAATTTCCTCTGTCATTAACTTAAAAATCCACTAACATTTACAGTGATGCAAAGCGTTGTTGTTAAACGGATCACTAAAGGATGCTGGAGAATTGGGGAAAAATATAGCTTGTTATTGCATTATTTATATTTCTGTATTGGTGATACTCAGTTTAATTTTTTTTATATAAGATGGAGTTATATAAAAGAACGCATAAAAAATACATAAAAAAACACAACAACATACTAAGAGGGGTAGTAGAAGTAGGTCGATTGCATTTACATTAATAGGTGAAAACAGTAGACATGCTGTGTACAAATGTAGCGACCCTCCTCCAAGGGCGCTCCTCCAATACTCAAATGTATATAAATGAATATAGAAATGTGCATTGAAAAAAATAAATATTCAATATGGCAGCCCTGGCAGAGTCCAGCTCCCACCAGGAATGGATCTTGCTGCAGTTGCACAAGAACTGGATGATCTGTACAACTGCACCAGTGGGCCAGTCGCCCTATCCTCCTGAAGCACCTCCTACAGGATGTTCCAGGAGACATGGTCAAATCCCTTCTCCAGGTCCACAAAACACATGCAGACTGTTTGGGCAAACTTCCCCTCAAATTACCTCAAGAGAGTAAATAACTGATCCAATTCCTTTAGCCAGATTCACCAGCTTAGGATCAAACTGCAGGGACCTCTGCCCTTTACTGCTGCCTGATCCACAAGCTTAATAAACTAATTGAAACTCAAGGGAAAAACAAGGGCGAGAGAGTACGTTTTCACTTGGAATTTGAAAACTGTTCGTGAGGTAGATGATGTAAATTTAGGAGGGAGGCGGAAATGTGACTGGTTTGATCTTTGAGTCAAATTTAAGAAAGGAATAAAAGATGACACCGAGATTGTTGTTTTCTCTAAGATTTAGAATAGTATGCCTGAGGCTTAAGAGTTGAAGAGGTAATGCAAAGTGTGACTACCTGTCGATGAGTGGGATGGATTGCTAAAATTTCTAAATTTATTTTCATTAAGTGTCAGGAAAGGAGACAGGTTTTAAACTTAGCTAGACAGGAAGTTGATGCCTGGTTTAGGAGGTAGGTATATGTGAGTATGGTAAATGGCCTGTATTTGTATAGCGCTTTACTCCTATCATTATCATCATATACAGGCTAAGCAACTTTTGTTTTGTTTTAAATATAGACTCGAGTGGAAGCATTGAAAATAAATACAAAATTGGGCCCAGAATGGAACCCTAAGGTATGTCAGAGGTGAAGGGGGCAATGTTAGAAGAGTAACTGCTCTGACAAAAAAACACCTTTGAGTCAAATAAGACTTGAGCCAATTCAGGGCAATGTTCAATTCAATTCTATTTTATTTATACAGCGCCAAATCACAACAACAGTCCCCTCAAGGTGCTTTATATTGTAAGGTAGACCCTACAATAATACATACAGATCACATGACCCCCTATGAGCAAGCACTTTGGCAACAGTGGGAAGGAAAAACACCCTTTTAACAGGAAGAAACCTCCGGCAGAACCAGGGTGGGATGGCCATCTGCTGCGACTGGCAGATGGATGCCGCGACCAATGTGAATAAAATGATATTAAAAACACTGGAATACTGTGTCTAAAATACTGAATACCACAAATACTGATACATTGCTCAAGACATGGTCCACCAAGCACTGAACCACTACGGCCCCTTCAGTGAGTTGTGGACCCACAGTATGATGGGCTTTTGGGTTATGCTGGGCCATCCCCAACAGATGGGTGGGTGGATAAAAATGCTCAAAACAGTCACATATGATAAGTACGTGGTAAATAATTTTAAGCATTTTTTATTATTTTGTTATAGGTTCCTTTTTAACACACATTGATTTGTTGTAACCCCATGAAGTCGTCCACGCAGACACTTCTCTACATGGTCCCAGCTACATATGTCCTTTAAGCAGAATCCAAGCCAATTAGAAAATATAAAAACAACCACTCATCTGTAGCGTCAAAATTCATCTGTATATATGCAAGGGGATATAAGATATAATCTAAGATTCTCAGTCATGTAGAAAGAACACACGAATTAGAAAAACTAGAAAAAAAGCTCATTGTATAGGAGAACTCCATTGTACATGTTTCAATTTTCTAAAGTTAAGTGAATTAACTTTAGTTTAACTCTAGGAGTGTAATTGAGTTAGAGCTTGCTTTGTGATTTCCCAGTGGAGTTTTCCATTTCGTCCACACTGCACTCAAAGTACCAGCCCTGTGAAAACTGCTGGAATTTACCCGCAACATTTTTGAAATGCTCTCCAAATATATTTATATGGAAAATGCTTATGCAAATGCACTTTCAATGTGTGGAGCGGCTGTGTGCGCACTCCAGCAGCTCCGCTGGCAGCGACTGCCGGCCGACGCTGTGGCCTGGAAAGTCAACAGGAGTCAGTATGTCCAAGTAGTCTCCGCCAAACCAGCACCAATCAGCAGAAACAGATGGGTGTTTATTTAGGAGGACTAGGAACAGTGGAAAATGTGGAGGAGATTAGGAACCAAGAGCTTTTTTATTACTCTCATATTTACTGAAAACACCCCTGACAGAAGCACACCATTTTAGGGAATGCTTTTTTCCAACTATTTCACGTTTTTCCCATTCCATCTTTCTTTCAGTTTTCAGGTTCATTGAACACCTTGTCCCTATCCTCCCTTCCCCCACACTTTAATGATCCTCCCTTTCCTCGGCCACCTCTCTTTAAGCTTCTATCTGAATTCCAAATGTGATAACCTAAGTATGCGCACTGACACATTAATCCATGCTATCATTTTGTGTAGCGTGCAATAACATTTACCCGAGCAAAGCCTGAGGCTGCAATTTGTTTGATGACCCCTTGAGTTCAGTTTATAATTTAGTCACAAGAGCCTAGTGGTTTGACATTCCACAGCCCACAGTGAGGACTGAATCAAGGAAATTATTCACTGCAGAAGAGACAGGCTGTAAGCAGCCATCTCATGAGTGTCCCATGATTCTCATCTAGTTGCCCTCCTACACACACTGAAAGAGAGAACACATGTGAGCTTGACAGGAAGCCCAAACTGTAGTGTCTCAGACATTAGAGAGAACATCTAGAGTCGCTGCATTTGCTTGTTTATCAAAAATTGTATTTATTACAATTTCTAATTTTAAAGAAACAAATCTATACAAAGAATAAGTAATAAGACAGTTAACCCAGGTTTTAATAGACCGGGAGTATTTTTTAAGTTATTTAAGCTATTTATTGGAATAGAGCAGCAGAGAGATGACACGAAAGCTGGGAGAAAACAGTCTTGTGGTCGATTTGAAACAACCTGATTTATTCCAAAAGGTTTTGTTTTTGAAAAGCCTGGGGTTTTTTTGTTAAGCTTGACAACCAGTTTGAATCAAACTAATTGTGTGCATTTACTCTTTGATCAGGTCTCCTCCCAGGCCCAGCCCAGGCAGTCTTCACTATTCGGACGAGGATGTCAGCACCAAGTACAACGACCTGATCCCTGCAGAGAGCAGCAGCCTGACTGAAAAACCCTCAGAAATCTCAGACTCACAGGTGCAATAGCATTATATTGTTTTACACTGCATCTTCCCTACTGTCTGCATTAAGTAGTATTTCAGTCCTGTTTGTACCTGTGTACGTGTACCCACCGTCATCTCCTCGAATTCCTCTGGAATTCAGCTTTGCATTGTCAGCTGTTCTGTGGTTTTTTGCCTGTTCATGCTGGTGTCCTTTCTGTGTCACCCATCTCAATGTGTTTGGCCTGCAGAGGTCATAAGCTACAGCTACAGTAATGCACATGGCGAGATGAGAGATTAATGACTCTGCTTACTGGTGGCAAAGCAGTTTTTAGACCAGGCAGTAACCTGTGGAGAATGTCACTCTACAGACATCCACCTGAGATCTAGGTCACTGCACTCAGCCACAGCACTCCTTATGTAAGGCAGCGAGAGGGCATGCACTCTGCAAAATTTATTTTACAGCTTGCTACGTAGTAAAAATTGCCTCTCCAGACAGATAGTTTATCCAATTTTCCTTTTCAGCAAGTCAGATCAGAGTTAGTTAAATTGATCGCTATGGAAAAAAAGAGCACTGTATTGGATCTTGATAGTTAAAACGCGATCATAATTTTGAGTCTGTTTGAAGTTTTAAAGTCTTCTGTTCGGACTGATAGATTATTTAAAAACTGATGTCAGAATGTCTGACTTGCGGCCTTTGTGCCGAGCCAAACTGCTTTTACCCAGCGCGTGTGATCAATAAATTGTGCCCTTCTGTCTGTCTGCATCTGTCTTTCTATTGATCAGCGTGTGCCATCTTGGCTTTTGTCTATTCTCATTCTCACCCTTTTAACCAAATTAAATTTCTTCTGTCTGGTCTTATGTGCGTATACACTATGCTGTTGCTGTTTTTGTTTATATCACATCCTCTCTGTGGTTTTTGTGATTCATCTTGCAATCTGCAGTCTGGTTCGGAGCCTTGCAAGATAAAAGCATCAGGGGAAAGTAGTCTGGAATTCCCTTGCTATCAGGCTTCCTTCAGTTTTTTTTCTTTCATCTGGGAATTCTTTACTCTCTGCATTTTCCCAAATTATCTTTCAGATAAATAAGTCTGTAGTGTGAATTCCAAAAGCCAGAAATCTCTCCCCACCTCGCTTTATCAGGACCTAAGTCATGCTTCCAGATCAAATAGAAATCTCTCTACAATGAAGTGCTACAGACAGGACCTTTCACAGCACCATAACATTCCCTCAAATGAAGCATTTCAACATTTCAACGCCTGTGTGACATATCTACTATTCACATTTGTGCATTGTCAAGCATGGCCCTAATGCGGTTACTGCCCCCCTTGGATGACGACACTTGTCTGCTGCCACTCTGCACATTCGAGGGGTCGATGTTGGCTTTGATGGAGTGAAATGCACAGAGCCTTTCTGTTAGCCCAAGGCTCCTCTGCCATGCTCCTGACAGACCACCGTATCAGCACCAGTGGTGCTCAAAAAATCTAGGAATGTTCTTTGAAGTTTTATTGAGCGGATAACTCATAGCTATCAGTATGACATTGTGCTGTCTGTCCTCCTTAATCCCCACGGCCTCCCCCAGCAGGTATAAGTTCACTATTGTGCTCCTCGTGAAGAGGGGATTTGGAGAAAGCCAACAGTGACTTGGCAAGGCAACAGGGTCACCATTACTGTTCTGCTCCCCTGCAGGTAGAGACCTATTGACTTCCCTCTTTCCTTTAGAGTGTAGGTTTTCTCGCTTTCCAAGGTTGTCTCTGTGGCAATGTCTTTGTGTGTAATTTAAAGCCGAAACCAGTTAAAGGCAAATGACCTCGTCTCTGAGTCATATTATAGATTATGTTTACTCTGCAGAGTGGCATTCCATGGGAGAGAGATGAAAATGTCGGCGTTCTCTCACATACTTTTTCTTTCAGACTTTACCGCTCTCTTTCTCCATCCTAACACTCGCTGCCTCTGTGGTTACTGCAGCTTTTTTTGGCTGAGACTCAACCGAGAATATTATCTGTAATGTTTGGATTGTCACTAATGACAACACGCTAATTTTGACCAGCCCCGTTTAAAGTTTCATGTCATAACCCAGAATAAAGTTCAGTTGCGACCGCAAATAAATAAGAGTTGATATTAATAGCTTTTTGGCTTGTGTACAAAACAGAGGTTATTGGAAAGACGCAGACATTTATATTGGCTGGATGGGATGAAGCGCATGTAAAATGAGCATTAAACTGACATGCTTCCTTAAACTAGGCATCACTTTTAAAGGGAAAAATCTGAATAAATGCACATGCTTCCATTATGCATTTCATCTTTCTGGGGCAGCTCTAATTATCAATAAGATTTTAAATTTCTCTGAATATAATTGTTCTGATTAAGCAATATGAAGTTCACTAGTTGGAGACTGGAACTACAAAGGAGGCTTAGGCCTCGCCTTGATGGTGGCAGTATGCAACTTTGCTTTGATAAAGCTGGTATTTTAGTGCTAGCAAAAGTGTCCCATCTTCCCCTTTCCAATTTCCTGCACAGCTTTTGCTAAAAGCTCATAATGATATATGTGCTGTGAATGTGCAGGGATTTCGAGTCCCCTCCAGCCCCATATACACTGCCATTGTCTTTATCTCAAAGGACTCCTGCTGTGTTCACTTCATCAATAAGAGTGACTTAGACAGCATCCCCTATCTCCCCCTCCTCTTTGCAATAATCCATAACAAGAGGACAAAGGACCGACTGTTGGGGTATGCATCAATTTTGGGGGGGGATGGGGTTGGGACCTTGCTTACCAGAGAATTTATTTACAAAGTGCAGTAATTAATTCAAAGCGCTTTTAACATGACTGTAAGTCTATGTCATTTCTGGAGCAACACATCCAGATAAAAAGGGGAATGATTCAGACGGTGGCAGACACAGAGATGACAGCAAGCTCATTTTCAGCAAGTCGATGTCAAATTTCAAATAGATTGTCTGAACGCCTACATGGTTTGTTGATGATGACCAATCTATCTCCAAGAAACTGTAATTCTGACCCATGATTGATGCACATCTTTGTCATGTTTTTTCTCAATTTTATTCCCTCCTCTCCTTTGTTGTTTTCCCTCTTCTTTGCTAGCAACTGTAAACAGGACCACAAGGCAACTTTATTACGCTGATGATAAAATAAAGTACTGTCAAGAGGTTTCGCTAGTTAATTGGATAGATGTCTTAATCTCTTTCACCGCCTAATTTAACATTGAAATGCTGAAAAAATGCTTAATAATTGACACAGGCAGGCTGGTATGTGTCTGTCTTACACATATCCTTGCATAAATGAGACGGTTAGTCCCTCGAGGCTGAGGTGCAATGCTGCATTTCATGCCTAAAGTCTGTTTCTGTCACAGCATTCAGCTCTAGTAATTAGCTTGTAATGAGTTGAAATAAGGAGCTGTATCAAGGGCTGCGCGGCCCCAGAGGCAAATTGTTAAGCATCTTTACTTTAGGTTACTCAATTGCATCCGTGTGTTATTTCTGTTAAATATTGGTGATAAACCAAAAGCAAAGGCAGACAGATTGGAGCGCTGTACTTGTAAGCAGAACAATTTAACAGTCACAACATCTGTTGCACACACTCGAAAATTGTGTCGGAGCAGGCAGGAGGATGCAATTCCCTGTGTCAACACTTGGTCTACAGTCACGCTTTCCCGTTGCCACACACAGCTAGAGTGGTTTTTCATCTCTCAATGCTGGCTTAATTCTTTTAGAGTGAAGTAATGCCACTTGAAGTGCCTCAGTGTGACTTGCTGGTCCACTGTGAATGGATGTGTTTATTGTGTTGCTGTGCTGCTAAATAGACTGGTATGAATAGAATGCTTCTCAGACCTAAGTGTTTTAAGTGTTTACAACTGGGTGACAATATTGCAAACAAAAACACAAATACTGAGCCATCCCACACTCTGGCTCTCCTTTATTGAGAGGAAAAACGATAAAGAAGAAAGGGGGGGAAAGGAGGTATGTTAAGGGGAACGTGGCTTGTGCAGTATCTGCCTTTGATTAATTCGTGAGGAAAAAAAACAGGATACTTTCTTTTAAAGAGAATCAAAATGTAGGATTGTTTTTCCTATAATTCAGCACTCAAAAGTTTCTGTTTGGACTTTTATAAACTCTGCTGACATGGAGAAAACAACAGCTTTTATATAGGGGTTTGACATAGGCATGAACCAGGAGGCACAGGGAAATCTGAGACAACTGCCATATGTATGACATATGTGCTGTGCAATATCCAGCGAGAGATCTGTTCTTTGAGTGTGCGCCAACAGCAATGTTTCTGTACATGATTATGAAAGGCCCGAGAGAGCAAGAAATTTCTGAAACGCTCACGATTATCAGCACCCTCTCGGTGGTATACCACTTTGAAGAGAACGGGCTTTTGTTATGCACCTATTGCATGCTTATAAGAGCGTCTTTGGGAAATTATCCAGTGACATTTTTGGCACAGTCAGCTGTGCATATGTTCATTGTGGCAAGGTGATTAATCAGACGCTGCCTGGCCGATTGGCAGTTTGCTTTCATGGCAATTAGATTACCATGAGCGGTCCCTGCTGAGCGTTCAGTGATCACGTTCCTTTTTGTTTGATGCATGGAATGTTTCTTGACGTGAATACAATAGTGCTTCTAGCTCAACCTGCAGCAAGGTGGAAGGTCACTGGTGAGAATGTGCTGAGAACTATTATTTCTTTACACATAGCAAGAATGGAATTCAGACTGAGTTAAAAATGTGAAGAAAAATAACTTTAACAATGCTTCAGTGCTCTCAATATACTCTTAAAGTTGATGGTGGTGTTGGAAAATACACTGCACAATGCAAAACTGTGTTTTTATTTCATCCTTTTACCTTTTCATACCATTCGCACAGAATGGCACAAAGGCTGTATTTCTGCATTTATTTATACATATTGTGGCATTATCACCATCATGACTCGGCCATTTGAATCATTCTGTTATGGTGATGTACTGTAAAACCCATTGTTTTGTTCACCCATAGGAGGCGCTGGTGTTTTCATATGGAACAGGTGGCCTACATACACTTCCACTGCATTTGGTGAGGTTCCTGTGGCTGCCTGCTTTGAATGTTATATAGCCCTATAGGAGACTGGTTCCAATTGGTAGCCCCCATCCAATCCTTTCCCTCAGATTCCTCTTACATGTTAGGTTTTATATGCCACACTGTGTAACACAACACCAAGCCCTGTCTTGCTGACGTGGTGTGGTCAAGGTCTTAGATCCTGAACATATAGATCTGCTTATTGGTTAAAGTCCCGAAGACAAATTGACCTTCGCCATCTCGTGTTGACGGTTTTCTTGTGCACGTTTCAGTAGCAAGTCATCCTTCATGCTTTGACCATCTTTGACCATTTTGTCCGTCTGTACTTGTGCCGTGTTGTAAATGTAAGTGTTTGCATGTGTTTGCTTTTTAGACAGCTGTGGCTGTAAATTGATGCCTTAGAATAACACAATAACTTCATGTTCATTTTCATTCTAGCCTCAACATCTTTAACTGCTACACATGGAAACACTACAGAGTCACACCATACTCACAACAATAAACCGCTGTCTCTTCTTTTTTTTGGCTTCTCAGGGCAGCGACAGTGAGTATGAGGTGGACCCTAACCGTCAGAAGACCCACTCCTTCGTTAACCACTACATAAGCGATCCTACCTACTACAACTCCTGGCGGCGCCAACAGAAAGGCATATCCCGGGCGCAGGCCTACAGCTACACAGAGTCAGAGTCAGGAGAGCCGGATCACTGCGCCCCACCACCGCTGCCCCCTCTACCTCCACTGCCACCCCAGCTGAGTTCACCAAGCCCTCAGCCTCAGCAGGCTCAGGGCCAGCCCCAGGGCCAAGGCAGCCTCTTTAGACCCAAAGGTAGCCGGACTCCCACCCCCTCCCAGCAGAGCTCCAACCCTCCGAGCCAGCACAGCACCTTGTACAGGCCCCCCAGCAGTCTAGCCCCTGGCTCACGGGCCCCTATTGCTGGCTTTTCCTCTTTTGTGTGAAAAATACTGAGGACATAGAAACTTCTGAAAATACCTACCCAACTTGTGTTGAAGAAGAACATAGCATTGCAGTCAGCCCAATCAAGTCGCTCACTCTTTATTTTCATCATCAGTTTATTTTTCATAACTTACATGTTATTTCTTTTAGTGAGCTTGGATGTATCAAAAACATTCTGATACTTTTTGAGGCGTTTTTTTGTCTAATGTGTGATAATGTGCCAGTGTAAACTTTGGTTTCGCTCACCGGCTGATCAAAACAAAAAAAAGGTCTCCGCAACATCTATTCACTTTTATTTTGTTTGTTGAAATACTTGCATGGCTTTATCATTTATTTCCTTCTTTTTACTTTTTTAAACTCATTCAGCGGTAATATCTGATTCTGTACAAAGTCACTAGAATCTTTGAAAACACACACACACACACATAAATATATATATATACATATATATAAATATTCTATAGTAGACATGCCTAGAAGACAAAATCAAGTCATTGCTGACTCTACTTTGACGAAGACTGATATGACAATATGATGGAGCCATATTGTGGAAGTTAAAGAACAATTATTTGTTTGGACTGGATGTAAAAACAAAAAGCTGCCAGCGTAAAGGTGGAATTTATGCCAAATCGAAGACATTTAATGTGCTGGTTGTGAGAGTTTTAAAATGACATTGAAGAAGCAATCATGGATTTCAATGGAAAAACTTTTTTGGCTTTTACCTTCCCCTTCCTTAAAAAAAAAAGTCAGACAGCATTTGGCCATAGTAGTAGGTCAAATGTCAGTGACTGCGGCGTGCCTGAAGGATCCTGCAGATATATGAAACGAGTGTATATCTGTTTAAATGGAAGTGTTTAAGTCTGTTTTTTGTGAGTGTGTTACAGTGGATCGAAGATGCCTTGATAGAGAAACACATATTTATGATCTCTGGCACCAATTGTGAATGGACTGTTGATGGTGCCCCGAGACTTTGGCATCGTGTTGCCTCATGTGGGCCGGGAATCAGTTTGCATACAAAACCCATATCTCATATTTCACTTTTTGCTGGCTCACATAAACACTCACGAGTCCAATTCTACTGAAATGCTTTGGAATCCAACTTAAGAGGTGAAGTCTCAAAACTGTCATCAGGAACTGTTATAAGGGAGCGCAGCTGCTACTTCTACAGTGTGATTTTGATAAGAGACCAAGAGGATTCCCACCACCCCCCCTGTTTTCTTCCCTGCTGAGATAACTTTTCGCTGTCACTGATCACTATTGCTGGGCAGCGCCGAGCCTGCACCAAGAGATGATGTCATTGAATTGCCTCACCTCTTTTCCTTTTATGTAAACAACCACTCTGTAATATTCAGGTGTGACTGTATTGTCCCAGATGCAATTACGTGTGCGCGCGCGTGCATGTGTGTGTGCGCGCGTGGTCACTCTTCTCGTGTGTAAGCTTACAGATCATTCACTTTATGTCTGTTTATAAAGAGATTGTTCTGCAGCAACTGTAAACCTGCCTGGAGTAACGCCACAGAGGGCTCACGCGGTCCAGCCACCTGCCAGGCGCGCTCATAACGCTATAGTGAAGACTCAGTGGTGTGTTCTTAGTTTTCATAGTTCAAAAAGCAGAAAAAAAAATGTCATCTACTTTTTTTTTTTAATTATTTGTGGGGTGATTTCATTGTACGCAACAAAAGCTTATCATGCAGAATCTGAATGAATATATGATCACAGTACATTTCTGAAATAAATTATTTTTCAATGTTAACTGTTCTGGTATTGAATTGTGAAACGTAAAGGGGAGATGGGAGGAAGGGAATCATGCAAACAGTGGTGTTAAAGGGATATAACCTCCTTCTTATTTAGACTGTGCAGAAAAAAAGGCCTTCGTTCAGAAGCAGTAACTCCAACTTTTGCCACAAACCAGTGCTGCATGACCTCTGTCGCTGTGCCACAGTAATCAGCAGATTTCCATTTTCAGTAGCACCCATCTAATCTGTTTCCTCTGTAAACCTTCTCACGCACTCTAGCACAGTAAATAACATACATGGTGATCACAGTAATCTCTTATGCAGTAATGATACAAGAAAAAATGGAAATGTTACTTCAGCTCTAAGTGTGGGCATAATCAACTGATTTCAACATTATTGAGGACCTATGTGCAAATCATACCACACCCATTGATCACTATCTACTCCATTCCTCTTGTGCCTCTGTTTAAATCTTTCACAATGCCAGTCATTTAGTTGTTGGCTTACTTTCCCAGATCCAGTTAATTGGTTGGTAAACTCTGAATATGCCAGAATATGTGGTAAACACACCAAAACAGCAAATGTTTGAAGACTTTACGTTAACTTTCCAATCTTTGTAGCTTTTAGAATAAAGAAAAAGACTGGACTGATAGACCTCCGAAGCTTCCCTGAGTATCACGCGATGTTGGGCCACATGCTACGTCTAGACATGGTTTCTTCAAACTGGGCATCATGGTTCGTGGAATCACCTGAGTAGTTTTTCTTCAGACACAGAAAGTAGTCCCTTGCTTTCTATTGAAAAAATGGCCATTGTGGCGCTAAACATGACACAAAAATTTCTGCAAAGTGCAGCGAATACTATTTACTGTAACATGTCATAAAAACCTTAAAAAAAACAGAGTGCCCAACGCCAGAAGCACTCTGTTTACAAATGAGTTCTGTAAGCACTTGGGATCTGTCCATGGCTAATTATTTAATTAAATCACATCTAACCTTGTGTTACTCGGGGTAGAAATAAATTGGATCATTGAAGATTCTTTGAAATGCTGTTATCTGGTTACAAAGTCCCATCCTGACTTCTTCAGCTTTCTCCTGGTTTTCAGATAACCACAAGTGAGATAACTCAGTTGGGCCTTTGACCCCTGTGACTATACATTAAGTGATACCTATATCTACTCAGGACATAGGTGATGCACTGAAAATATATGTGCAAACATTATATGCAGTAATACAGAAGCACATGTACAGTGTCAGATGGTGTTAGATGCTAATTGCATCACAGTCAGTCACTTGATCCAATGCTAACCTACTAACCACATAAACATGAGAAGAGAGGAGATTAGATGGGATAGGATTGGACAGGGAATTGGAACAAGAGCGTCCAGAGCACTAATCCCTTTTTTGAAAACACATGGGAAAATTCCCTCCAACAGAAGAATCACAGACAGGAGGTTTTTCACTTGTTGAAATGTTCATTTCCTTCTGTCTCTCTCTTTCTTCTACCCCTCAGGAAATGACTGACAGATAAGAGTGAGTTGGTGGTCCCTTTTTAAAAAGGGAGCCCAAGGTGCTAAATAGCCCTGATGAGTTTGAGAACCCTCAGTTGGAATATTAAAGGATTCAGACAGAAGGTGTAGTTCAAAGGAGTTTTGAAACCCTGAATTTAATTGCCTCATTTGTGAGCATCACTGAGTGTGGCTTGGGGATTTGAAGAGGATATACTGACAGTTGGAGAAAGGATACTAATTTGAGAAATAGGATGTTCCCTCTGTGCTGTTCATAAATGCCTTCCTAATGTATTCTTTGTATCAAGCTTAAATTGTTTTCTGACTTAGTGTACATTATAGGCAAGAGCAGAAAAATGGCCTCAGTCTTTTCTGAAAGACCCTTTTCCCCAGAGAACCCCACTGTTCTCGCAGTTTGAAAAGATGCTAACTTTCCACAGTATGTGGGGAAAGTAAGAGTTGGGAATGTGAGGCAGCTAAAAAATTGTGACATAAATTGGTGTCAGGACTCATAGTAGGTCACAATTATTTATATCTCAGTTGAGAGGCTTTTTATGAGAAAAGAGAATACCTTTTGTCCCCATTTACTGTAGTCATTTAGGCTGTGTGCAGTATATAACAAAGAACACAGAGCCACACAAGGAAGCAATAACTGAATAAGGGGCCTGCTTCAGGGAAACCTGCCATCAAAGTGTCATGTTCCTGCCTACCCTCGCTGAAGTTCTGACAGACTTAAACAGAGTATGCCGTAAAACAATACACCACTAATTGGCTCATCATGTTGAAATATAAGCCCTAATGATATTTACAGGTGGGAAAATTAGGCTTTGACAGACAGGTGGGCGTCAGTGGAGAATTAAAGTTCACACCTGAGGCCCAGCTTACTATTGTAACCACACCCACGCACACACACATGCTCATTTGTATGTGGCCTGGATGATTTACACATCAGACATTGTAAATTTGCTTTGTGGGTGTGAAATTAAAGGCCATTTTTAATGTAATCTGGAAATTGTCAGAAATAATTGGAGAAAAGGGCACTATGTCTAACCTAATTACCTCCATGGCTATTATGAGTTAGTGATCATATAAATCAATGTGTCTGGACCTTTAATTATAGTAATAGGCTACTTTTCAGTGCATTTGTTCTAATACTACAAATTAGAAAAGAGAAGAACATTAACTCCTGTTGTAATTGTGTCCACTTGCACTAAGTGCACATTTCTGAAATTTAGCATGTTTGAAACCAATAGCGCTCATTTATGTGGTGCTTCCAGATGTGCTAAAAGGCTAACGTGAGAAAACATACTGATTTAACCATATCAGCATGACCTTTAGTGCATGGTTATTCACCTTCTTCACAAGTTAGATGATATATTGATTCAGTGTCTGTATATGATATATGAAGGTCTATCCACTTTTAACTACTAGTCTATATACGAGCATTTGTAAACGCGAATTTTATCTACATATATATAACGAATAAATGAGTCTAATAAGTTTTTTTTTAAAAAGCTGTTATTTTATGGAGCTAGATATGGGTGCAACATTACAGAACAGCAGATCTCCTTTGTTCAGAACAGCAAGCAAGATTTTATTATTTTTTATCTGTGTTTAGATCATGGTTTAGATGTGCCAGTAGTCAAATTCTGTTGCATTTGGGCATAGCAGAGTTTGGCTATAACCAGTTTCCCCTGCCAGCCTAATTTCTAAGGTAGCCCGTGTGGTACAAAAAGCCCGACGGTGGTTGCTTCTCCCTTAAGTGTTCAAATGTTTTACTTCGCAGCAACTAGTCCCTGTCAGCTAGCTTGGGGCACAGCCTTTACCACTCAAGGGGTCAGGCTTGGGATACTCAAGTTGAAGTCCCAGCTATTGTTAGGCGTTGTGGATAAATGGCGCTCTGGCCCTTTAAACCGCAGCAGGAGGTGGTGCTCTCCAGCGCGGGAGGGGAGGGGAGGGGAGGAGGAGGGCCGCTTTGTGAGCCACACAGATGCAAAGTAAACGAACGTTGGGAGCACCAGAACAGGGACCGTCCTGCCACAATTCTCTTGCTTCTCTTTCTACGGAGACTTAACTAAATTTGTGCTAACTCACCCTTCGCGGTGTTTACGGAAAGTTGAGAGGGATATAGTCTGAAACTTCGCCACCGCGTGGACCTTAAAGAAAAAGGTAACGTTTCTTCGCGGTAACCTGAGGAGTGATGTTTTGTTGTATTACAAGTATCCAGGGGCTGTTCTGATGACGAGCCACGACTTTTAGTCATCTTTGGGTTGTAGCCAGTGTGTTGAGTGTAGTTTCCAGAATACTCTGTGGGGTCAGAGGAAGAGGCGTAGGTTGAAGTAAAGCCAACGGAGTGAAATCTGCATCTCATTTGAATGTCATCTGCTTCTGGACAATCAGAGCCTGGCAGTTTCATCGAGCTCCTCGGTGTCCCATATGGAGCCAAAACAATGAGCTCTCGCGTCCTCTGTGTCCTCCATCAGCCTGAGGAATACTGGGAAGTACAGGGTCAAAAAAAAAGATACAATAAAAGTAACCACCTGAGTTTAAAACATCTTCAAGAGCCAACATGTTAATCTAAAGGGTGCTTTTTTAAAATTACAGATATCCTGCCTGATATGGAACCATTTTCTTGACCTATGCCACTATAGACTTTGTTGTGCTTTCAGTTTGAATAATGGCCAAAAAGCTGTGCTGAGCTAATAACTTTCGTTAAAAGTCATGGGATCTCCTAAGGTTTTTTTTCCTTTTTCAAATCCAGTTTTGTGTGACTTATTAAAGTTGGATATTTTTCTTGTTTTGGGCCCAAAAACTACTCAAGAAAGGAATTAGCTGGGTTTACCATTGCAGAGAGTAACGTATTTCACATTTGGGATCCTCTGTGGTAATGTGCCCACAAACTCTGGCCTTTCCTATTGTAACTAAGAGCAACTTCCTCAATGAAGCAGCAGATATCCCAGAGTTAAAACTAGGTTGCAAAGTCTGAGAAAAGTGTCCCAAATAACTATATTTGGCTACAGGACGGGTCATGATTTAATCAGAGCAAGGGGCAGATGGTTGCATGAGCATCAGTTCTCTTCAGTGAGAATTACGTAACATTAATACTGCTGCTGTTGGATCTCAGTGAAATCTCTGGGAATCTAGCAAGAGCTCTACAATCTAAACAGCTATTTTCACCCCATCTTTGGCAGGCATATTTGTCCACCTCCCTGGATCATTAGGGAGTTTTTTCCTGTTTGTGGTTAAAGACTTGGCACTTGCCTCTTATGGTCATCATCCCGCCTGATGAACTGAGTAATTTGCTGTAAGAGTTGCCACAGTGGCTGTATACGTGCCCGGCCTCATTCATCATGCTCTAAATGAAGGCTGTATAGTGTGTGCCCGACTTTAACTACACTGGCCATAAAGTCTGCAGGTCCGTTTTATAACATTCTGTTTCATTATTCCTCACTCATCGTCAGCTCTTCACGCTTGTTAAACTGTCGGTCGGGACAATAGTGAAAGGACGTGTTGACTGATGAGTTCAGGTCTAGTGTTGATTTTGTGTGACTGTTGCCCTTGTCCTACACACAAACACAGAGCAGTAGTTAACAAAAGCCCAAAGGTTGGTCTGTTCTTGTCATTTTGCTCGATGAATCATTTACGTACTCTGCACTGATAACTCTAAATCAAAGAACTTAGACGAGTGCAAAAAATAGCTCACTTCTTTACATCTTAAAAGTTGACTAGAGAAATCTTGTCTTAACTCCGACACTGACTTGTCACCATCCCGCCAGCGCTGCCATTTTTTTTTTTCCTGGCATCCTCTTTCGTCTCTCTGTCTTCTTTCCAGTGACAACAGTGCTACATTACTGCATACACTTCAGGCCTTTCAGCTCCTTAGTGGATGTCTTCTCCAGAGCTGCCAGGCAGATATCTCCCCATCGAGATCTATTGTGTCCACTGCACAGCCAGTAGGGGAGGGAGAGTATGTGTCATCTCTGACTGTGCTTTTTTATTTTTTTTTATTTTTTTTTTTTTTGCTATGGAGGCTCTTTGAGTTTCCTCTGGAGGATACTCCTGCTGCGTTTTGAGGAAGCTGGCTACTTTCCCAACTCTTGGCTGTGGTGAGGTCATTACAGTTTTATATTAGAAAGAGGGTGTGCAGTAGTAGGGGTTGTGGATGTGCATTTAGACTCATGTGCATGAAAACATTTACTTCAGGCAGTTTTTGTGTAGTTAGTAAAAACTGAGGGCACCTCATTTCCTTGTGAATAGACTTTCTGTTTTATTTGTGTGTCTGGGTTTCATACTACGTGACGGTTTAATGTAAGAGCAGAAACATTTTTCTTTTTGTTTTTATTAGGCGATAAATATAAATTGGTTAACCGGAGTCAGATGTGACAACTTGGAGTAATATTCCCATGCCTTAGGAAATGGCCTTGTAAATTGTTTGCTCATCTACCTTTATTCCAAGCTCCATGGGAGACTGACAGGTAATGATGAGAGAATGTCTTGACATTTGGCTCAAAGAGGGCAATTTGCAGCAAGCAAAAGGTCATTATTGAGTTATTCGTGTGAATTAATGCCTTTTGGATTTACATTGAAAAAAAAAAAGCCCTCCAGAGCTTTGAAGCTATGGAGGCCTGATCGTGAATCATTTCACGAGTGACGCATGTGCACATTTTTTAAGCTGTTCTTTCTGGTTATGTTGAACTCCCCAAGGAAAGTTGCTTTGTCTCAGACAATTACAGGATTCACCCCACCTGCAAAGAAAGCAATGAGGTCTTTGAAGAGCAGTCATGCTGAGGATGTTTGTCTTAACCTTTGAACAGACTTGATATGAAAAGCAACGGTGCAATATTTTATCTGTGTCTTCAGGTTTTTGCAAATTATAGTTAACTCTGAATGTCAGAAAAGAAAAACAAATGAATCAGAGACCATCATTGTCTTATTTGATGGCAAATTAGAGGAAAAAGTACGAAATTGTTCACATAGAAACTTGGACATGTTATGGACATGTTATTTCATGTCCATGGACATGTTATTTCTAGAACATAGATGCTACAAAATATGTCTATATTTTGTAGCATCTATGTTCTAGAAATAATTGCATAAACATTTAGCAACTTGAACTAATCTGAAACAGTGATACAACAGTTGTTTTTTTTTGTCATTTCATTTCACATGACATATCTTTTCTCAGAAAAAGAGTGTGCTCTCTTTTCTTTCGAAACAGCCCCTATGCACCTGACACCCGTCACCATGCCTATGGCTTTTTTTGGTTATCAATGTAACCTAACCAGTTCAACGGGAAAAACGTTTTACTTTGCGTTGCTAAACACTAAAGTCATTTTGTCCTCTCCCAACAACAGGCTGACAGCATAACCTACTGTGACATAGATTTCAAAATCTGTCACGCAGTAGTACTGTATGTTTTGGCACAGCATGATCTCGTTTTTGCATCACCTGTCACTGTTGATGTCTTAAACTCAATTGTTTAAACTGTGAAACCAAATGGAAAATTGGCATGCGTGACGCAAGGCATTTCAAAACCGCTGAATGTGGCCGGCTTGACTCGATCCCATGTTGCGAAGTTTCAGAACACCCTCCTTGGTTTCAGTTATGTGGAAGAAGATAACAAAACAGTACCCAACATCAGGGTGATTGGCGTGTCCAAATCACATAATCTGAAATCCTGTTGTTGGACCGATGTGGTTACACAAATCTACTTTGCAAAATGTGTTGCAGCAACTTTTAAACAAGGTAATTATTTTTCTTCCAGTTACACACTGGTATGGGTACCATGGCTGCCAATACAGGGTACTGATCCAGCACCAGTGTTAGATTAATAAAGCTTTTCCTTACTGAGAGGAGAGGACTGGGAGTTTTGCTTTATGTCTAAGGCAGCATGAGGGTCAATTGAAAGATTGCTTTCCTAACTTTAAATTTAAATTTAAAATGTAGCAAAAATAAATTTTTAATTATTTTTTTTATTCTATCAACAGGACCTAGACCATAAATGGAATGATTATTTAGCTAATTTATTTGCTTTTGTCATAGTTCTCTCAAAATGAAAGTCTTTACTGCATCCTTCTGTAATTCATGGTCTCTGTTTCACATTGAGTATACCTCCTCAAATGGATGAGGTAACAGATAAGAAGTTTTATCAGATGGTGGTTCAGTGGTTAGCTCTGTCCCTTACAACAAATGGGTCCTAGGTTTAGGGCTGTTCGATATAACGATATATATCGGACGACAATATAAAAACGTCTATCGTTTCATTTTACGCTATCGTTTGTTTCGTGGTGTCGCAAAATAAACTGTTTGCGGCAATATTTTTTCATTGTTTTGATGGTCACTGTAATGGCTATATTAATCTCTTAAAGTTCTCTCTTTCTCTTATATTTAATATAACCACACTACGGATGGACAAGCGCCTGTTTTTATGCGTTGTTAGCAACAACGGCGGTAAAACCATCGCGTGTCCGCTTGTTTATTTTCCACATAACCCTTTCACAATAAAGCTCAAGATCCTGTTGAGACTTTTCAAAATAAACTGAATCACGTGAAAGACTATGCAGAGTGTTTACGGATCAGAAGCAAAAAAAAAGAGCCGTCGGGTGCTAAAAAATAAACCTTAGACTCCAACGTTAGAACAGGCTTTTCCCCGCAGCACGCTGTGTAATAAATACTCACAAAGAAAACGGCGTCCGTTACAACTTATGTCTAAAAATGTATCGTTTCATGCGTTGGTTAAAACACTCGACTCCAGGTACGCGACGCCCAGCTGGAAACACTTCACGCAAGTCGAGCTGCTCGAAATTCACAGAATTTACAGAAAATATAAAATTTTTGTGATTTATATCGTTATCGTGATAGATGTCTTATATCGGGATATGAGATTTTGGTCATATCGCACAGCCCTACCTAGGTTCATATGGAGGTTGGGCTCTTCTGTGTGGAGGTTGGATATTTTCCCTGTGTTTGCACAGGTTTTCCATGAGAGCTCCTCTTTCTCGTGCCATTGTAAAAACAAAACAAAAAAACACCCTCTGTTATTACTGTCCATGTCGGCCGAGGGACTGTTGACATAGGCTTGGATGATATACTAAACTACCAACCTGCCGTTAGCTTCCTCCATGCTTTGTTAGCTCTTTCACTTGCAACCAGTGCACTGCTGCTGACAC